ATAATTATTATATATTATATATATTTTAAAATATAAATATATATTTTTAAATATAATATAAATATTTATATTATTTATTTATATATATTTATATTATATATTATAAAAATAATAAATATAAATACAAATAATAAATATATAATATATAAATATAATATATATAAATATATAAATATATTACATTTATTACTTACAGGAACCAAAAAATTTCTAGTTTTTGCTTAAGTCATTTTGAGTTGGGCTTCTGTCTTTTGTGACAAAACGAGTCCTAATTTTAATATTTACATTAGGGCAAAAAAGTGGTTTACAAAATAGTATCTACAGGAAGGTTCAGATTTTCACTCTAAAAATATATATTTTTATTATACATGTATAGAAAATATACTGGAAGGACACTCCCCCAAATCGTTAATGGTTGTTATTTTGGGGTGGCAGGGTAATTGGTGATTTTTTATTTTTCTGTTTTTATTTATCTCTATCTTCCAATGTCTCTATGGTAAAAATATTACATAATGTGGAAAAAAACTAATTAAAAAATTTGATCTGAAGAATTCTGTTCAGCTGTCTTCACCTCTTGCACCTGTTGATTATGACTCCTAAATCATTCTTTCCTTCCACTACAGTAATGAGTTTTGCGGACACATGGCTACTGTGGCCACATGACTCGGTTTTCAACAACAAAATGTGAGCAGAACTGATACGTGCAACTTACGTTATTGGCTTAATGTCCTCCCTTTTGCTGGTCCCTCCCATGGGCTAGAATGCAGAGGGGGAGTTGAGTAAGCTAGCTCTGAACATAAAAAAAAGGATAATACCCTACAGGATGGAGAAACAGTATGGAAGAAATCTGGGTCACTGAGGGAACTTGTGAAGCAGAGCCACCTATCTGCCCTGAGCCACCTGCCCATCTGTTAGGAGATAGAGAAATAAACTTCTATTTTATTTGAGCCACTGTCTTTCTGAATTTATTATATCATCTTAGCCTGTTCCCTACTAATAGGTTCCCTAAAGGTAAATGACCAAATTATATGGCTGTGTGCGCATTGGTGTATATGTGGGGTGTGATTGTTTTCATGCCTAATATACCTAATATTAAAAATATAAAACCTCACTATCTAGTTCCAAATGGAAAAAATGAAATATAAGCAGTAAGTGGCATAAAGGCAGGTTCTTCTGCCTTTAAAATCTGGAGTTATAAAGGCCAGTTGTGCAACTGAAGTGCCTATCCTTTGTCCTAGGCTGATTCTTCAGCTTTCCCAGCAGTTCTGAGAACTAATAGGATTCCAATAAACTCCTATTCTGTTTAAATCAGCCCGTCAATTTCAGTTGCTTAAAGCTAAGAAGGCAGAATGATACAGCAGACGGAGATGCCTTAGAAGGTTCACAAACTCCTTGAACGGTATACAAAATACTTAACACTCACACGTGCACACACATACACGCACACACCTGCATGTGCACACACAGAGTGTCTTGTGGGAAGAGGTTCCATAGCTTTTGTCAAAGGAATTCACGCCATGACTTGGGCATATACGTGTAAGGCAGGACATGCCATATATCCTTCCCAGATACAAGTATGATAGAGTTGAACTTCTTTGCCATCTCTGGAAGCAGAATTCGTGGAAATGCTGAGGATTTAATTTCAAACTGTACCAGAATTAATACACTGGTTCAAACAAGGAGATGCAGAGACAACATGACGAGGGGCAAGAAAAAGGAGGTAGCACTTGAGAACAGGTGAGGATACCGCCTTGTTGGGAGAGAAGGACCTCCGCGCCTTCAAGAGGAGTCAAAGAAAAGTGCGTATATCTGCCTTTGAAACGGGGACATGCAACCAATTATCACGGGTCAGATAGAGGACTGTGGGTAAAGAGCTGTGGCCCTATTAAGAGACTATACCTGTAAGCCAACCAGGCTTGGCATTTTCAAGAACCAGGCTAAGAAAATTAGCTGAGAAGAGAAGGTGAAAGTGGTGAGAATGAATCATTAACTATTATGTTAATCCAAGTTGAACTTGGCGATGAAAGTCACAGACAGCTGAAACAGTCACACACAGACTGGCATGTGAGCAGGAAATCTAATTGTTTGGGGTCAAAACACGGCTACTTCCAAGTGATTAAGTCAATACCAACAGCAATAATTCAGGTTGATAGTATGGATCCTTGATATGATGTGATGAAAATGCACTTTACCTTTGTGGTCTTCCTCCCCAAAACTCATAACCCCAGTCTAATCATGAGAAAAACATCAGATAAATCTCAGCTGAGTAAGACATTCTGCAAAACATCTGACCCCACTCCCTGAACTGCCAAGGTCATCAGAAACAAGGAAAGTCTGAGAAACTGTCCCAGCCCAGAGGAGCCTAAGGAGACATGATAACTAAATGTAACATGGTGTTCTGGATGGGATCCTACAACAGAAAAAGGTCTTTAGGTAGAAATTCAGAAAATCTGAATAAAATATGGACCTCAGTTAATAATAATGTACCAATATTGGTTTATTAATAGTAACACATGTACCATTCTAATATACTAAAAATAAGAGAAACTGGGTATGGGGTATAAAGGAATTCACTATACTATTCTTCAATTTTCCTATAAACCTAAAACAGTTGTAAAACTATAAAGTTTATTTTTTTAAATGCAGTTTTATTTCACTTACTAATCTTGAGCAAGTTACTTAGCCTTTCTGTTCCTCATTGACTCATCTACAAAATTAGAATGAGAACAGTGGCTATCTCAGAAATTTGTTGTGAAGACTAAATGAATTCATACTGAAATGCTTAAAACAGTGCTCCACAGGTACTAAGCACCCAGCTAGTATTAGCTATTATTATTTCTGAATATTTGTGAAGTACAGTAATATTTTACACATATTGACTAAAAATGTGACATACAAATCTGACATATAAAATATTAAACTTTACAAACAAAGCTTGAAATAATGAAATTTCCCTCAATATGTTAAAAATTATATAATTTCAAAGCTGGCAAATCAAGTGAAGTGCAAACTGAGTTTGTACTATGGTCACATGGTGGGTCACAATGGAAACTCTCCTAGCCTTCATAAGAATTTCACCCTGAATTAAGGTCTTAGGAACCTACTGCCCACTGGCAACCCTCACTTAGGGTCTAAAATTCCTCACAGTGTAAAAAATAAGGGTTGCATTTCAATATTGAAGTAATGACTTAAGACAATTCCCATGGAGAAAATGTTGGCTAGGCTACAGACCTAAGATCAAAATTAAAATATGAAAACTTTTAAAGATTTATTTAGAGAGAGACGAGCAGGGAAGGGCAGAGGGAGGAAAGAGAGAATCCCAAGCAGACTTCTTGCTCAGCATAGAACTTGATGTGGGGTTCAAGCTCACAACCCTGAGATCATGACCTGAGCCGAAATCAAGAGTTGGATGCTCAACCGACTGAGCCGCCCAAGTGCCCCCAAAAGATGAAAACTTTTAAATCACTTAGATGTGTGGCAGGAGAAATTAGCGGAAGTCTAAGGGCTGAAGCTGACACGTCTCCTAGTTGGAATGCAACTAATCAAACATATAAGCAACATAGATGCCTTTAACTTCTGCCTGAAATTGTGCAGACCCACTGCGGGTGCTAGGATTTTGTGTAGGTAAAACCACTCAGCTGTCTTCCCTTTTTTCTAATAATTCAAAATTTCAGTCTAAGGTCTGAGATCTACCTATGTAATTATTATGAATGCTTAAATAAGAAATTCTCCATATATCATGTGTATTACCGTTACGTCTTTAATATTTTAAGATATCAATTCATAACATACTCAAATGTTTACTGTTTTATTTTTTGTAAATATTATGTAAGAAAAAGAAAAACACTTGTGTCCAAGTTATATACAAAAATTTGATGAATGTCAGTGTAGCTTCTTTTGACATTAACAGTGACAGCTTTTGATTTGTTTACAGTAGAAGGGCCATCACCTAAAGAGACTGCTCGCTTAATCAAAAAGCTAGGGGCAAATAAATGTATCCTTATGACAAAGATCAAAGACTCAGAGCTGAAGGACTGAAGGAAGATGTGAGAATCAGATATATTTAATCTAGAAAAAAGCAGAGGAGTAGTAGTATACACACAAATGACATTTCTAAATCTGGAATGGTTGTTTTTTGCAATAAGATGTTAGGATAGAAATTTCAAACCTTTGAGAATATTAAGTTGCTTTGACGTGTTTTTATATCTAAAAATCAGGGACTTTTTAAAAGCATATTTTATTTTTGAAATAATATTTTAGGAATAGTTTGGTTACTGCAGATGCAAACTATTTACTCCCATCTTATTATTTACTTTCTCAAGCTTCTTGATTAGCATTTTAAAAACTATATTCAGATTTTTTAAAAATATCATTCTTACTTTTATATCTCCTATAAATAAAAGTATCAATTTTACATTCTTGAAGTATGCATATAGCAATCTCTCACTTAAAAAAAAAGGCAGTCTTTTTCTTTCATAATGAATATCCCACTAAGATGATATTTCGATATGGATACTAAAGAATACATTAACTTGATTTCAATAATCATTAGTTATGCATATTACCTTTGTTTTAAGGAAGTAAATTATAGCAACCAGCCAATGTGTCTATAACCTTTACAACTTTATACATTGTATATAAATTTTATACTCACATATGTATAATCTCTCCAAGTAGTAGATACATGTTAAGATTTTTATAACTTATGATAAATGAATGTTTTGTTTTTCTGGTTTTGTTATAATAGTCTTGATACACTGCATTGATTTTCAAATGGGAAGATGATTACTTTTTGGTTTTCCATGAAAATGATAAACCCTGAACCTTTTACTGTATACATTATTATTCTCTTTATGGCAACAAGTCTCCAAAGAAAATGCAAAGCAATGAAACCATACTAACTCAACTGATCTCCATATTAAAATTATTTGGAGTTCTTATTCACTTAATGCCAAGTCACAAACTAATTTAAAAAATTTTTAATTAAATACACTAGTTACCTATGTAAAGATATGCCCTTCTCTTCATTATACAAATGATTATAGATGACTGGTCTATATTTATTATTATTCCAACACCACCGTTCAGAATTCCATGTTCTGAAGGTTAGAAAAGAAGAAAGCAATAAATATCCCCAAGTAAGAAATACTTGAATCTATGAAATCATTTTGTCTCCATCTCTTATGATGCCTATAATTAAGAACCAACATACAAATTATAAGTGTTACCAAAACCTGCAGAGAAATTTTTAAAAAAGAATCCAGTAGTCAAATTAGACAAACAATAGCCTTTAAATATTGAGAAATATTTTTGCATGAAGATGAACCAGAAAGATTTTTATGCTGTGACTTGTTACATAATATGCTATAGTAGTTTAAACTGATTGATAAAATTCATTTCAGATAAAGGCAGGTTCCAAGGGGAAGATGGATAAAGTCATTGAGACATCAACCAATTTTTTTTTTATGTTCTCTCCTCAAACTCACTCTCCCTTCTTCTCTCCCTGCTTTTAGCCGCTGACCACATATAGCCCCTCTGTGTACCCTGATACTCTCCTGAAGGAATGTCCTTCACTTCCCTAAATAGCACAATTTTCAGTAGTGAAGGTAACAGGAATTAGTAGCTGTCATCTCAGAAAGAGGGCAGCAACACAGACAGGACAAAGAGAAATAACCATAAGAAAAATATTAGTGTAACTACAATGGTGTAAAAACAAATTACTGACAACTACAATGTACATCTCCTCATAAAACCCTTCATTTTCATTAAAATTTAAAAATGACTCCATAATCTGTTGCAAAGTAAAATGTCAGGTCTTCTATAGTTTTGCTATGACTATAGAAGGTAAATGAATGAAGCAAACTGCAAGGCAATGATGCATAAAATTGCTACTATATATTATTTTCAAGGCAGAGCCATATCTATATATGGAACACAAGATATTTCAAAATGAATGCAACTTGTTGTCTTGATAATTTTACAGAATTAAAACTGGGAACATTTCAGCAAACCCTAGCAAAAGTACCATATACGCATACCCAGATGTTATATATGTGTATGTATGTAGAGCTATATATCATAGATAAATAATAATACTAAATTATTAACACTACAGAGAATATACCCCCACACCCCATTTCTAACAGTAAGAAAATAATCAACCTGCATGAACTGGAATCAGATTCATTTTCTTCTTCACTAGTGCCATCATCCACTTCTGGTCTATCCAGCCAATGTGCACCGCCACAATCTTCTGCTGTAAACTCAAATGCAGGGACTTCAGAGGTGGATGCCATTGGCCAAGAAGGTGAATTCTGAAAATCCAGTTGGCTGGACCTTTGGTAACCAATTGAAGCCAAAGGCAATTGTAGGCTACATGGATCTAAAAACTTTCTCCCACCGTTTGCTCCAGTCTGTCCTCGATTCCAAAATTCTCCCTGCTGGCTGTCAACTGTAGAATTAGATGATGCTTGATGGCTAAACCACCTCCATCTGATTTTCAAAATCTGCTTCACATCAAACTCTTTACGAGAACCAGACATCCTCAGAGAAACCAAGTGATCGTCTAGGCAACGGGCAAAAAGCACTGCACACAGATTTGTGCATCCAACCAAGACAAGAGAAGTCTATGCCCTGCTGTACACAATAAACAGATTGAAAGGAAATAAATCACGTTCACATATATATCTACATTAACTTTTATACCAACATAGCAGATTATAAAGAACAAAGGAGAATGAATAGCGATGAAACACGGTGGAACATTCCGTTCAATCAGAGCAAACTCTCATCCACCTATCCTGAAGCAGCTAGACCACTTTCCCCCCTCTCTTTTCCCATACTGACCATTAGCTCTCACAAACACTGACAGCATTCATTAAAGTCCTTTCAAATGCAGAACACCACCCTCTTTTCTTAAACCACAAATGACAGAAACAGAAAGCACTATCCCTTGCAATATCTCAGTCTCTGCTGCTTAGTGTATTAACTCTTTCATTGCTGAAACAAGGAATTTATTCCAGAACATCTTCCTTTGTACATAAAAATCACTATAAAACAAAAATGTTTCTAGTTTTATACTAAATTCCCAAATGAGATATCACAAAATAATTTTTTAAAAAGCGTGTTTTAATTAGATGAGTTATAGTGACTTTCAAGCTGTGCTCTTTAGATGGCAGGAGGAGGGGAAGGGAGACAAAGGTGGGGCTCCAGTTTGTTGCTTTCCACGTCTGTCTTCTTCCTTTGGGAAAGGAATGTATTTAATTAATACAGTAAGATCTGGGATAAGATTTCATTTGGGCAAAGATTAGGAAGAGGGAGAAAGAAAAAGTCTGAAGACTACAAAGGATCAAAATATGAGAGTACTTACTCTTTTTTCAAAGAAATAACTGGAAGCCAATATTGCTCTATAGTTAGGATTGGGCTGCTTTGATTTAGTATAATTTCTGAATTTGTATGACATCGTGTAGAAGGAGGAAAGTGTGGCTCAAGAAAGCTACCAAGGAGTGGGACAGGATTATTTCCTGGGTGTACAAGTATCCTAATGGTGCCCTCTGTTGTTAGCAAAACAAAACAATGGTCTGAGCATGGTTACAGTTAAGGCAAATTGATAAAGCAAATTAAAAAAAAAATCGAAATTTAAAATACTGAGTAGTTACTGTGAGCAAGACACACTGCTAGGCATTGTGAGGGATACAGTTACATAACATCTTGGTTCCTACCTTCAAAAAGAATTAAATCGAGTTACTGAAACAAAAAGTACTTGGTAATTTAAATATAAGACATATTACAATGCTGTAATATTAATATACTGTGATCTACAAATACAGATTTTAAGTTTTCAGGGTGCTCAATATCTAATGCTATTTCACTTGAAAGACAATGCCTATTATCAACTGGCCAAAACAAGGCTGCATTGGAGGCTTATAAAAATATTGGGAGGCACAGATCTTAACCTTACACAGCTCTTCAGAAGAATAAAAATTATTCAGAGAAATAAGAACGAGAGGCATGAAAAGCCATCTACAATGTTGTGGACAATATGGCAGAACAAACCATAAATACTCTAAGAAAGTGGAAATAGATATCGGGATGGTGTGGAGTGGTATGCGCCAGTTTCATTAGGGAGAAGGTCTCTGGGAATAGTAAGTTGTATAGAAAGAATGAGGATATTTTATAAAGGAAGAAAGATATTAATAAAAGCATGAAGTGAGTATATTGACAAAGAAAGAGGGGGTAAAAATAGCAGTTTGATCAGCCAGCCAGACATACCTAATTAATTTTAAGGAGTAATGAGACATAAACCGGAATGAATATGATGAGATAAAATGCCTTGAGCATAAAGCAAAGGTGTCAAGACTCACAGGCAATATTAAGTGGACCGTTGAACAGGGCAATGTTTTAGAAAATTAATTTGGCAGTAGTATGCAGGATGCATTCAAGAGTAAAATGACTTTCCCTGTCTGCTCACCTCTGTCACACTCCTTCATATCAATTCTAACTCCGCTCTATCTATCCAACTTTATATTATCCAACAAGGACACACTGCTTCGTCAGGTGAGATAGAGTCTACATTATGTTGCTCCCCCTTTTATATGCTGTTTGTGTCCCAAAGTCTCTGGTTTTAAGATCTTACTCATCCTTCGAGGTTAGCATAGGCATTACTGCCCAGAGAGAGGCTCCTCCAATCCCTCTAGCCTTGTGATTCTCAACATGGGTAGAGCCTCCACTCCTGCACCCCAAAAAGGCTTCTGGAAGTCACGGCGGGTGGGGGGTGAAGTTGTAGTTGTTGGATGACTAGAGAGTGCCATAGGCATTGAGTGGGCAGAGGCCAGAAATGACAAACATCTTGCAGTGCAGGGTGCGGACCCACGTCATGGAGAGATGCCCCTGTGGTAATTCATAAGGATCATGTCATCGTCTTCATTCAATTTGACATAAAGAATTCTTATCTCACCAGTGTTTTGAAATTCATCTGTGTTGTTGTCTGTAGCGGCTGATAGCTGCTTTTTATGGCTATATAGTATTCCACTGTATAAATATACAACCATCAAAATACATTCTATCGCTCAGACATTTTAGTTGTTTCTAGTATTAGACTTTTGCAAGTAATGCTACTATGAACATTCTTGTCTGTGTTATAGGATGCACATGTATTTGCATTCTGATTGTGTGTGTATATATATATATACAGAAACAAAACTGCTAGATTATAAGGTATGCATATGTTCAATTTTGACTGTTATTACTGATTTATACTCCTACAACCATATGAGAATTCCAGTTACTCCACACGCAGCCAACACTGGTATTGTCAGTCTTTCATTTTAGTCATGCTGATAGATGCAGAGTAGAATCCCACTTGATTTTACTTTACATTTCTCTGGTTACTAATGTTGTTGGGTAACTTTTTATGTTTACTGGGCATTTGGATATCCTCTTTGTGAAAGGGTCTTTGCTTAGTTCTCTTCATTTTTTTTCCCTATTATCTGTATCTTTTTGATTTGTTGCAGCCCTTTTTATTTCTAATATGAGCCCTCTATTATCAATATAGTTTTAATGTAAACCACTCTTTTCCCACTGTATTGAGGTATTACTTTTGGTATTAATTAGCATCTCATATATAGAGAGATAAATTTTGGGGTGCTACTTCTGTTCTACTCTTTGTCTATTTTTATGCCAATAGTATAGTGTTTTATTTATAGTCTATAAGATAAAGTTTAATATCTGTTAAAGTTCCTACCTCCATATATACCCGTTTTTTTAAAAAACATTTTATTTATTTGTCAGAGAGAGAGAGAGAGAGAGAGAAAGCAAGGGGGGGCTGAGGGAGAAGCAGGCTCCCCGCTGAGCAAGGAGCTCAATGCAGGACTCAATCCCAGGACCTTGGAATCATGACCTGAGCTGAAAGCAGATGCTTAACTGACTGAGCCACCCAGGCATCCCTCCATATATACCCTTTTAAAGTAATTTTTAAAGCTGGGGAGCCTGGGTGACTTAGTCAGTTAAGCATCTGATTCTTGATTTTGGCTCAGGTCATGATCTCAGGGTTGTGGGACTGAGTCCTGCATCTGCTCTGCACTCACCAGGGAGTCTGCTTGGGATTCTTTCTCTCCCTCTGCCCCTCCCCACCTAAAATAAATAAATAAACCTTAAAGAAATAATTTTTAAAGCTAATTTTAGATATTTACCCTTGTATATACTTTAAAGTAATATTACCCAATCCTCTCAACAAAAAGCCCTGACCCCACTGAGATTCTAATCGGAATTGCATTAAATCTGCATATTAATTGAGATGATTGGCATTTTATGATATTAAGGCTTCACATCTAAGCATATCTGTTGTTTAGTTTGTTCAGATCTCATGCTCAGGAATAAGATTTTAAAATCATGTGACTATAGATTCTATGCTTTTCTTACTAAATTTTTTTTAATTTTTTTTTAAATTTTTTTTTATAGATTTTATTTATTTATTTGAGAGACAGAATGAGATAGAGAGAGAGCACGAGAGGGAAGAGAGTCAGAGGGAGAAGCAGACTCCCTGCTGAGCAGGGAGCCCGATGCGGGACTCGATCCCGGGACTCCAGGATCATGACCTGAGCCGAAGGCAGTCGCTTAACCAACTGAGCCACCCAGGCGCCCTCTTACTAAATTTTTTTATCATGTTCTTTTACTTTCTTTGTCACTGTAGTAAATGCAATAATTCTTCTCTAGTTTCATTTCCACATGGTTCTTTCTTTTTTTTTTAAAGATTTTATTTATTTATTTGACAGAGAGAGACACAGCAAGAGAGGGAACACAAGCAGGGAGAGTGGGAGAGGGAGAAGCAAGCTTCCCACCAAGCAGGGAGCCCGATGACGGGGCTCGATCCCAGGACCCTGGGATCATGACCTGAGCCGAAGGCAGACACTTAACGACTGAGCCACCCAGGCGCCCCTCACATGGTTATTTCTATTATAATGACAGTATTGAGTACATTTATCTTGTACCCAGTCATTTTATCACACTTCCTCATTAGTTATATTTTTTTGAATTGGTGTTCATTTCTCATTATGTTAAGTTACAGGTACCTTTGAGTCATCTAAGTGGAGGTGTCAGATAGTTGGATATAAATGTTCCTGGAACTCAGATCCAAGCTCCAAAAAACTCTAACAGAAGTCTAATAGTGGAGAAGCCACTGAAGGAGACTGGTAAGGAATAACCAATGAAGTAGAGGAAAATCCTCAGGGTCTGGTGTCAGGCAAGTCAGAGGATAAAGGTGTTTCATGGCCAAAGGCATGGCCACAATGTCAAATAAGAGGCTGGGTACCCCATGCAAAGAAAAATGTCGCCTGGAATTGTCAATGAAAAAATTCTGTCAAATCAGATAGGACCTGTTTCAGTAAAGGGGAGGGGACAAAGCCAGACTGTGGTGGGTTTAAGAGTTAATGGAGTATGAGAAGAATAAGAGAGGACTGTAGAGACAACTTGTTCAGAAAATCTGAACAGTGAGGGGCGCCTGGGCAGCTCAGTCGTTAAGCGTCTGCCTTCGGTTTAGGTCATGATCCCAGGGTCCTGGGATCGAGCCTCACATCAGGTTCCCTGCTCCACGGGGAAGCCTGCTTCTCTCTCTCCCACTCCCCCTGCTTGTGTTCCCTCTCTCGCTATGTCTCTCTCTGATAAATAAAATCTTTAAAAAAAAATCTGAACAGTGAGGCTGCAGAATGGGATTATAGCTGGAAGAGGTGAGGGATCAAGGCAATGGATTTGCTAACTTATTTGTTGATTTTTTAAAACATGGAACATATTAGAATGATGAGAACGATCCCGCAGAAGAGGAGATTGATGACTGCAGGGAGAATCATTGAAGCAAAAAACTGTGAAGACTTTGATAAAAGGGAAGGAATGGCACCTGAGTGCCGTGGATGGCTCAGATAGTCATAGGAGCAGGGAGGCTTCTTCTGTTGTAAGATTTATAACTTTCTAAATGCATTGATTTTTTAAAAGGAAAGGCATACATTAAGCAGTCTACTCAAGATGAAAATGAAATCAGCCCTCTAAAAAGAGTCATGAAATAATAAAGATCAGAGGAGACACTAAAGATTTAAGAAATAAAATGACAGAATTAATAAAGATCCAGCTCTTAGAAAATTTGCCAGTGTATTCTCTTACCTTCTAGCAAATATAATCAAAGAAAAAACAAATTAGAACTTAGAGGATAAAATAACAGTTATAATAAAATAGAATATTTAAATAAAAGAGTTAAAAAATAAAAGACTAATATGGCTACAAAGATTATAAATGTCAAATTGAATAAGGGAAATGCTGACAAATGCAGAGAATTTAGGCAAGTGAAGTTAGAAAATAGTCTTCAAAGATAGAATTTTCTCAAAATCACTTACAGCTAGATCTCTATTTAACAGTTTTGCCTAAGGTTAAGCTTGTCTAAGCATGGGTACTTTGGAGAAAAATCATTCTGACAAGAAAAGTTCAAAAATTATCTTTTGATACAGTAGCTTGTTATAGCCCCCATGTTAGAAAGAGCTTTACAGAAATTATTTCCCAGCTTTAACTCAATTCTTGGGCCATACTTTATGAAAAATGTGTAGTAGGATTAAGAATTAATACTTTCATGGCATGGAATTCAGCATTTATTTTTTTAAAAGATTTTATTTATTTATGAGCGAGAGAGTGTGGGGAGGAGGAGAGGAAGAGGGACAAGCAGACCCACACTGAGCACAGAGCCCATCGCGGATCCCAGGACCCTGAGACCATGACCTGAGCAGAAATCAAGAGTCGGTTGCTTAACTGACTGAGCTACTCAAGCGCCCCTCAGCATATATTTAAATAACAGTTTTTCTTCTGTCTCATCAACTTTTGCCAAACAATAAAAAATTGTTTTGCTCAAAAATTTATCCAGCTCTGAGGAGAAGTACTCCTTATGGTAATTATTTTTACAAGATCAATACATATTAAAAGTCATTATATTGTTAAATTATTAAAATGGTCTGCATGGACTACTCCATATAAATTATATCCTCCCTGTTCTCTAGCCCCCGACTCTTTAAGCTCTTTTCATAGCACTTATCATTGCCTGGCATACTAGATGTTTATTCCCTTATTTATTGTCTTTATCCTTAGTACAAAGTAAGCTTCAGTAGACTTTCGTTAATCACTGTAATCTTAGTAATTAGCATGGTACCTGGTAGACAGTAGGTGCTCAATAAATATGTCTCTAATGAATGAATATATCCAACAATTATAAGAGCAATAATAAAATTAGACATTTTTGAAATTGTAAAATAAATAATTTAATTTAAAAAATATTAGAAAACATTTACTTCTGGTGACAAACCATTTTCAGTACTTATTCAACTTAAGAGGACAATCATAGTATGTTACTCTACGAATTTCCTTTTTCTATTTCATTCTTTTTTTTAAATTTTTTTATTGTTATGTTAATCACCATACATTACATCATTAGTTTGTGATGTAGTGCTCCATGATTCATTGTTTGTGCATAATACCCAGTGCTCCACGCAGAAAGTGCCCTCTTTAATACCCATCACCAGGCTAACCCATCCCCCCACCGCCCTCCCCTCTAGAACCCTGTTTGTTTTTCAGAGTCCATCGTCTCTCAGTCTCTCATGGTTCATCTCCCCCTCTGATTTACCCCCCTTCCCTCTTCCCCTCCTTCTATCTTTTTTTTTCTTAACATATATTGCATTATTTGTTTCAGAGGTACAGATCCGTGATTCAACAGGCTTGCACAATTCACAGCGCTCACCATAGCACTTAACCTCCCCAATGTCTATCACCCAGCCACCCCATCCCTCCCACCCCACCCCCACTCCAGCAACCCTCAGTTTGTTTCCTGAGATTAAGAATTCCTCATATCAGTGAGGTCATAT